ACGGCAACATGCAAAAATTAATTTATGTCACGTATAAAAAAAAATCTTCCTTGTTTTTTATATCATAAAGTAATTAAGATAATTATAATAATATAATAAATTATATCTGACGCAACTATCTTATTTTCTTAAACACTTTTCTTAAATCATTATTATCAGACATAAATGATAGCACGCGAATAAAAAAAAATCCGTCTTTATTGTTCTCGTAAAGCATCATAAAGCAATATACAGGGTGTATCTTAAAAAGCGCCCACTAATCATACAGCAGCACTATTTCTGATCGAAAACTGAGTCGAAAAGTTCTGAGCATTTTGCAATTTTTACAGTAGTAATGAAATATTAATTTCTAAAGATTATCAAATAAATGAGTAAAGTCAACACATAAAACAACTTTAAAATATCTTTCAGTTTTTTATAAAATATGTTAAAGATGTTTTTTAAAGAACTTTTGAAGATTAATCTAAAAATTATATACTGATTTTACACATTCTGCTCAATTCCTTGAATAACAAAAAAAAACTGCAAAAATTGCAAAATAATAGACTCAATTTTTGATCAGAAATAGCGCTATATTAAAATACACACACACACACACACACACACACACACAACACACACACACAACACACACACACACACACACACACACACACACATTGTACATAGCTGTCCAGCAAACGAGAATGGATTGAAATAGATTCAAATTTTCAAAAATACGGATTCATGAATGTTAAAATGAATCCTTTTCAATCCTAAATTTTTATTTATTTATAGAAATTGCATAAATCAAATGTCTATGCTTTTTTTAATCCCAAATGCATTTTTATTCATTATAGGAATTTCATAGAGTATATCTCTCTATGTAATGCCTATGTAATGCCTTTCAATTTAAAAATAATATTAGCATTTTTTGTGCATTGTGAATACTACTTACTTAATTCAGAATATATAAATAAGAAGTAATTTTTTTAATTCAGTTAAATTTAAAAATAATATCAGCCATTTCTGTGTAATTCCTATAAACGTGAATACTGCTCAATTCAATATTCTAAATATGAAATGCAGTTTTTAATCTAATTGAATAAAAAAAGTTTATATATTTAAAAATGGATCATAAATGCTATTTAAATTATTCAAAATTATAAGTAGGACATTTTTCGTTTTAATCCAATTAAGTTCAAAAAAGTTATAACATAAAAATAACTGAGTTATGTTCATTTGTTTCTCTTTGATTAGAAGTAAAATGAATAATCGTGAACACTCGCAAATCAAATCGAACACCAGCAAGAATATTACGCTGACATCACAGCGCGCGACATCGACCAAGCGAAATTAGATTATTTAACACTTACCCCAATGTTGTCTCATGATGTAAATTGTTTATATTTTATTATATATGTTTAATGATGATATTTTTATTATATTTATATAATTTCGTGCACTGGTTTAGCTAGTTGTAATTGAAGTAGAAAATAAATAACACATTTACCAATTGAAGAAGTGGTATAGCGGAACATAGAAAATTCATAATCCAAAGATCCTAGGTTGTTTGAATTCTACTAAGGAGCGTTTTTAATACTAATTTGAAATAGATAATTTCAGATATAATATAAATATATTATATTATATATTATATAAATATTATATAAATATTATATAAATATATTATAAAAGTCTTAGGAATAAAATTTTGTAATCCTTAAATATAAATGTTCTTTTTTTTTTGAATATTAAATTAGTCAGCTTGGATCCATTTTCATTCATTCAATCTATTTTCATGGATTTAAAGTACACATTAAAACAATTTTAATCCATTTATTCTCGTTTACTGGGTATAGTTAAAGGTTAAATGTTGTTAATTATATTCCGATAATAATGTATGTAAATTATATACAATACTTTTTAACAACGTTACGCACGAATTGTCGAGAGACGAAGTATCGTGATAAATACTCAAATTAAAATCAGTTTCTTTTAAAGTGACGTTGCAACGATCGATATGTAAATTATCTTCTTTATTCTTTAGATCATGATCAATATGATATAATGTGGCTTTTAATTTACGGATTTGTTCGCAAGTATTTTTTAATATTCGATCCAATAGATTTTCCGCTCCTTGTATTACCTCACATTCTTTCAATAGATTTGTTTCAACATTATCATAAACCAAGTCAATGCTCAATCTACATTTCCTGTGACAAAATATTCTTTTATTAAAAAGTTAGCTTAAAAAAAGTGAAATTTGTTTAACAAATTGCTTAACAATTAGGAAACATTAGTAACCTAGCAATGAGACATCTTTCGCAAATTGCAAGAGCGTTTCTTTTTACAGACTTCAGTACATTTATAATTCGTTCTTTATATACAAACAACGCATCGATTTCCAAAGCAATGTCTTTTCTTATACGCTGCAATTCTCCTTTGCGAAATTCAATGTCATTAAGTTTTTCTAACAGTCGATGATCTGTCTCCTCCTTATTAGTTTTTACGATTTCCTTGGCAGAGTCACATGCGAGCGTTGCCTCGGCTAAGAGCCGATCCGATAATTCTCTTTGTGTCTCGGAACATTGATATCTGAATTTACCAAAATTACAGTTTCATATCAAGAAAAGTCAGATCAAAAAGAAAAGTCAGATTATGAGTACGGATGTATGTACGATGCGCGAGCGTAATTTACTGTTAAAAACTTATTTGCTTTCTCTTTAATTATATCCGGAATAGAGCAACGCTTGAAATCTCAAATTGCACAACTTGACGAGTTTTCCATAAAAAACAATTTTAGAATTTTTCGTAATTTTGCATAATGTCACACGCATGACTTATTGATACCTGAACTGATTATTGTGGTGCCATTCGTCCAATGTAAATCTTGAAGGAGGAAATACATAATTTACGTTAATATCAATTCTCGCCATACCGCGATGTGGTTTCACTCAAGACAAAAGATCGTAAATTCGCAATATTTCAAATTTCAATAAAAAATCATTCACGGAGACTTAATTCCCAATGTTTGCTCGTTTCCAAGGAAACGTTTCTGTTTCCTATCATTGCTATCAACTCCATGCAACAATTATTATCGAACTTCGTTCACGACAATTTATATTTATTAAAAATTTATACTCTCTGACATAATGTATGTTAAATTTTAAAAGTAATTATTTTAATATAGTAATTATACAAACAAATGAAGTTTATTTCATGTAAATGATTGCAAAAAATATTCCCTTTATTTGTCACATTTTTAGTTCATTATAAAAAAATTTTTTTTAAATTTATTATAAAAAAAGTTCTTTGATTAATAAGAAAGATTATTGTGATATCCTTGGTGAAAAAATTTCGCTGAAATTTCACTGAAAGTGAACTTTTTAGTTAACATATTGAAAAATCATTGAAATTAAACAAAATTTCTCTGAAATTTTGCTGAAAATGAATTTGTCAGCTAAAAATCGCAGAAATTAAACTGAAAATATTCCACTAAAACGTGGAATAATTTCAGCGAAATTTGCACCAAGTTCTTATGGTATGGTAAATAAGTTAAATAATAATGATTAAAATTCCTCTTTATCCAGCAATAATGTTTTAAAATGGTTCAAGATTCGACCAAATGAGGGCGTTTTCACTTGCACTTGCGCATGTATCGGCTTATTTGTCGACTTTGTAATGTATATTTGTCTGTCTTCGAACAAAATGTTATGTTTATATGAAGCTATTGCATTCAATTGAAATTAAAAAAATGGAACGGAATTTTTTTCGAGATACATAAAATATGTGAGTTTTAATAGATCAATCGAGAGAATGTGTATTTACTACACATTTATCTCATTCCTTTATCAATATTTATTTCTTTGTAAAATCACAGTGAACTTTTTGTAAACAGATTGATATTTTTTTCAAATTAAAATGTGAAGTTAAATAATGATTACTTTATTATTAAGTATGACTTGAAAACAAAGTACTTTTATCTTTAATTTTATTAAAAATATAGGACTCTTTAAACCGATATAAATAATTTGTTATAAAAAATTTACAATTTTTCAATATTGAAAATTTACAGATCGATTCCTGCATGTATTTTCTCGCTCTATGAATGTCATGCCACCACTTGACTTGAATAAACTCAAAAAAAGACCATTAACAAAAGAAATTTTAGAACAATCCAAGAAAAAAGTAGACAGATTCGATGGATTGTCAGAAGAAGAAGTCCAAAAGTATACATTACAAGATTATCTGGAGATGAATCTGGATTTAGTATTTGTTGGAATTAATCCAAGTTTAATGGCGGCACACCGTGGTAGATACTATGCAGGTCCTGGTAATCACTTTTATAAGCTTCTGCATGAATCTGGCCTAACACCAAGATTTATCAGTTTTGAAGAAGATTATAAACTCTTGCAATATAGTATTGGTTTGACAAATATCGTTGAACGTCCCACTAGATCTGCTGCAGATCTCAAACGAACAGAACTCAAAGAGGGTTCTAAAGTAGTAGAAGAAAAGTTGAAATTATATAAACCCAAAATTGCAGTGTTCAATGGTAAATGTATCTATGAAGTATTTGCTCACATCACTACTAAGTTCAAATTTTATTTTGGATTACAACCAGAACGCATAGGTGATACTGCAATTTGGGTGACACCGTCAAGCAGCGCACGATGTGCTAACTTCCCTAGAATGGTGGACAAATTGCATTTTTACATAGGATTAAAGAAATATCTACATTTTTTGAAAGGCGAAATTACCAATGTTGACTTAAAGGAATTTTGTTTTGAGGGACGCAAGCAGATTATACCCAGTACTTCCAAAATGTGGCGGCGCAAAAATGTCTCTACTTTTCTACATGGAGGTAGAGTTGTTAACAAAAATACTCTTTGTCTAGATACATCTGAGGAAGATATTGGTTCAATTCGTACAGTTGAATTTCTAGTAGAAAAATCTAATCAAAAGTATTATAAACATGAGAATACGTCTTTTAATAAAGAAATATGCAGTCAAAAAATTGAGAGTCAAGAAACACTTGATGAAACTGTAGAGAAATCCGAGACAAGTATAAAAGAAACAGAAAATCTTATAAGTGATGTTAATGAAATAATTGTCAACCAGTCAGAAATTAAACAAATATCTGAAATTAATGGAAAAGGAAAAAAAAATTGCATTGTTATAACTAATATTTTAAACCACGAAAGTAATATAACTAATTCAGAAAATAATGAAAAATATGCATCTTCAAGAATTACTTGCAAAACTCTAGGAACTGAAAATAATTTGAAAAATTGCAATGGAAGTGATACAGATTTTCTAAGTTTAATCAAACAAAGATTATCTCAGAAAAGTAGTAACGATGCTATTATATCGTCTACAAAATCAAAATCTAATTATAAAAAGAAATAAAACAATAAATATTAATAATAAATAGTAATACTGATAGACATTAGTATGCAATTTCAAATTTCAAAGATTTATATTTTTATATTTTAGTATAGCATGTACCTATATCTTTTTTTAACTTAAAGTTTTGTTATCAAGATATTTATTATGTATAGAAATATAAAATATAATAAGTTTACAAATTCCACAATGAAAAACATCTTCCTTCATTTCATTTTTAAATATTATTATAAATTTATTATTATAAATGCTTATACAACAATTGCATAACAATTTAGTAGAAAGAATGTTTAGATAGTAAAAAAACAATATTTATTCTACATTAAATGAATTTTATTTTCTTATTCACAAGATATTACATCGATGAATGACAAAAAAAAATCATGAATATATGTATAATTTAATAAAATTTATTTGAAATTTCCTTTGTTGTGATGCAAAACACTTATTCAAAGTATCGAAATTTTCTAATTCATACAAATTATTCCTCACTTTTACTACTTAGAATAAGCTTATTATATAAATATATTTACACTTGAACTTTCACCGTCCAAATCCACCATCAGAAAGCGATGTTACTTTCTGTTGTATTATTTTACCATAACCACCTCGTCCACTATCAAAATCTGAACGGTACTCGTCCCTCACCTAAAATATTAAATAACATTACATGTCATATCTATATATGTATATATCTTGTGTTTAATTCTTCATAAGATATTAAAAGTAATTACTTGTCCTCCTGTTTTCCCACGACCATACTGTCGGCCTTCGATAAAGCCCGCGTCCCAGTCGGTTCTGATGATTCGGTCATCTAACCGGGTTCCATTTATATACCTCATGCAACTTTCTGCATCGGCTCTGTTGTAGTACTCAATAAAACAGAAACCACATGGTGTCTTCTTATATTTATCAAGACCCATAATTATTCGTCTTATGTCTCCACATTTGGAAAATAATTCGTATATTTGCTCCTCTGTCGTATAAAAGGACAGATTCCCTACATATAAAGTACAGGAATTTCTTAGTAATCTGTCCTGTTCAGCTCTTGTTCCCTATATAATGAAAAAGAATAAATTAGTTATTCATAAAGTATTAAAAAAAAATCTATATTTAGATAAATATACAATTAAATGCAATTATACCATAATTATTTCTAATTAAGCACTTTTCAAATATTAATTATAAGACACAATTAGAACTAAAAATTTCAAACTACGTAAATGTAAAAAAACAGAAATAAAAATACATATAAGAAACATAAATAAATTGAAATATTAATAATAAATTAAATTGAAATATTATATACACTGGATAATATGTGAGGTTAATTATTAAAAAAAAAAACCTTGAAATGTTGATCACGATAAGAGCTTAATTCAACTGATGGCGAGCTAGTTGCATTTAGTTTGATCGACATTTTCCGAGGCTATTTAGCTTAATTTTGCTTGTAAAAATCAATTTCTGTCGCAATTCAAATCTGCAGAATCCACTGGAATCCACGGAGCGGAAAGAAAAAGAATATATTCAATGTATAGTTGTGTACCTACCAGAGAAATCTCTCTGATACCTCGCTTATTTGAGCACTGCTGAGCATCCAGTGATACCAATAGAAGATAAATAAATTACCAAATATGTTCGAAGACTTTATCTTTATCAACACCTTCTTCGTTGAGTTTTAGAACGCATAAAAGTCTGACTAACCAATCAGCTGTTCACTTTTTGGAAAATATAAGATATAACGGTAGGTAATTGGATCTTTCAAGTGTAACATTCAGAAGCCAATACTGACTGTATTTATGAAAGCACGGAACGTTCTTTAATCTTTTCATCTTTGATTGGATTCCATTGCGTCGTGTTAGCAAGGTGAGTGTGATTTATATTTGATATATTGAATGATTATACGCAATGTGATGATTAAAAATTATATTTTGCTTTGTCAATACTTGTATATTAACGATTTATTATTAAATCTTTTGCGTTAGAACCTTTATAATCTGGAAAAATCATTCAGCATGTGTCCCTGAATTTTTAACCTAGAAAACACGTTTGTATGTTGTACAAAGTTTTAGCCATTTTCTAATAATATGTATCTTCTTCATCTAAGTACTTATTTTATGATAGATGCGTACAATTTTCATAGAAAATTTTTCTTATAATGAAATTAATTATTAATTTAATATTCACTATATATA